TACCTAACCGCCTCCCAAAATCAGTTTCAGCAGAATGTGGAAAAATAAAATTCACAGTTTCTGGTAGGTTGTGGTGATTATGAACTCATCCTAAAGATTTGTCTGGATGGTAGTGCAGTCTAGGAATGAGGTACTGAGATAACAGGAAAGTACCAAAAAGCCTTTGAAAGGTTAGGTTTGCATTATACAGTATTTGATTTCAATGGGAAAAAGTATTGAAGGAGAGTAAAAATTATCAGAATTATTGAAACTCTGGCGGACCTATTTCAAAAAGTTCTCAAACTTTGTGAACCGACCCTCTTATGTTCTTTGTGTCTAGCGTTTTTGTTTGCAAGAGCGATCAAGAGTCAACAGTGAAGCTTGTCGACAAGTTATAAATTTCTTTCGGCTTATGTTGGAAAGATATACAGTAGTCAGCTGATCTTTGTATACGTTTATAAGTTTCAGAGGCGGATTGATGTGGTGTGCGAGATGAGTAACGTTATTACGAACACAGGCTCTGGATATGGGTTCTGAACCTTTTGGGTTTCCCAACAACTGGTCTGGTTTCATTTGCATATGAGTCAGGCGTGTCCAGTTGAATCCCGGGCATTTAATTGCATCATGGGCATCTTGATCTCATTTAGAAGCTGACTCAAGAGTACCATGACTTTTAAAGTTATCTTGCATTTTTTTGCCTAGTTGGGGAAGTGGGAACTTTCCTTGAATTTACCCTCACAAGTTCCCAGGATGATTTAAATGTGATTAGTGGAGACTCAACTAATGGATTGATATCCTGATACTGTATCTGAGTGTACCCACTGCTGGTTTAGAACAGTGTTCCCCTACCCATGGTGCATGGACCAGCGCCATTCTGCAGAAGTTTTTTGCTGGTCTGTGGGAAAATTTCAGCATAACACATTTATTAAAAGTAGCAATGAACGCTGTTATCATTATCTAAAACTTTGGAAAGACAATGGCAGTTTGATGAAAAATAAAAGTTGGCTTTTCTCCTAATAACACTTCAGACAAAATTGTAATTTGCAGAAATAAGTTATTTTCATTTTTAATTCCGAGAAACCCTTCTTAAGGGCACCTTTCTAAATTTTTGATGATGTTCAGCCATAGCTGATTCATATGGCCTGAATGTAATTATTTCAAGCAGCAGAAACTTTATTATGCCTGCCATTAAGTATATCACGCAAAATTTTTTTCAAGTCTGTAGCAATTTAAGAAACTTTGCCAGTCTGGAGAACATTTTTTTGGGAATTTGCTGGTCCAAAAAATATGTCATGGAAATTTGCCTATCTGTGGGCCTGAAGAGGTTGGGGACCACTGGTTTCTAATTCTTTGCATCCTGGTTTTGTTATTTTCCAGTTGCATGGCAACAAAGTTGTCATGGAACTGTAATGTACACAGCTCCATCAGTCAGTAGCATTTGCACATACCCACTTCACTTCTTCTGCCTGGGGTTCATTGAACAAAGTCAAATTCTAATTTTCCTTTGTTTCTTGTGTGTTATGGAATGTGTTTCAGTATAACAAACTTTCTAAAGAAATCAGGATAGATTCTCTGGCTAGATAATTAAAAAAGTGTAGAGCAGACACAGTTTGATATTTCAGATCCCAAGTGATATTTCAGATCTGATTGATTACAGGCAGGTCAGATGTGAAAAAGTCTTCCATTCATTAATTTTAAAAATCTCATAACAACAATGTTATTCAGTATGACCAACTTTTTCCGAAGGCCCCAAAAGTTTGTTGTAATGATACCGGTATTTCATTCTACTGTTCAATAGTAAGAAGTGTTAAAGGAACTTTCACGAATGAAGGGAATTTCGTGGATTGATTGGACAATATGAACAGATGGCGTGTGTGTGTTGCACAACAACCCGAACTCCACCCCGCGGATGAACCCCAGATAGGTTATCACTTTCCACACCTGGGAAGCAGTGTTGTTCAACAACAGTTCTCCCCAATCTCATCCCACGGATAAGTAATTTGCGTAATAACAACCCTCGTGATTTCCTGTTTCGTGTATTGGCTCGAGCATTGTGTGTGTGTGATGAGTTAATTGAAAATCTGTAATTATTGTTTCTCTCGCACAGGTCAGACTCCTCGCGACATTATCGAGGAAACACCGTCTGCAGTGGTTGCCTTTTTCCCTGGTGCTCTCTCTCTCTCGTGCTGCCCTGTATTTTCGAACATTTCGTGAAAACCCCGCCGGGTTTCGGTGGAATGCGTGGATGAATCACTAGGACTACTACATGGAGCCATCGTCGTCTTGGGTGCCGGGCATTTCCATCCTGTGTGCGCGGCGTAGTGTGTCTTCTGTTCCGGTATGAGTGCGCGAGTGTTCGTGCTGGTTCTCGGTTCCCATTCATCCATCCGCTCGTTTGTGTGAAGGAAGTGTTCTTTATATTTATATATATACATATATAACCGGTGGTAAACATGGTGAGTGTCTTTGACTTATGTTTGAGTCTGTTATCGAAATCAACGCGTAAAGTAATCACTTGGATTTAGAGCGAGGCTTTGTGTGGCTTGCTGGATGTTTTTTTGCGCGTTCATACGATCGAGTTGTTATTGGAGGAATTGAGTTAAGTGGAAGTGGATCAGTATAATGATTCGGAAGCACGTATAGTCGAGGAAACTTGAAATCCAGTGATTAAAAAATGAGACGTTCGTTATAAGTATAATTGAGTGCTTCGTTCTTGATCTATGTTATTTTTCTGAGGTTCTCAACTGTAGATCTTCATTTGTGACTTTAGCTGGTCAGTGAGGACTTGAAAAGTTATTCGAAAGCATCGAGTTGAGGAACTGAAACGAAACGTGAAATCGATTGATTGAAAAAAAAAGCTATACGNTAAAGTTATCTTGCATTTTTTTGCCTAGTTGGGGAAGTGGGAACTTTCCTTGAATTTACCCTCACAAGTTCCCAGGATGATTTAAATGTGATTAGTGGAGACTCAACTAATGGATTGATATCCTGATACTGTATCTGAGTGTACCCACTGCTGGTTTAGAACAGTGTTCCCCTACCCATGGTGCATGGACCAGCGCCATTCTGCAGAAGTTTTTTGCTGGTCTGTGAGAAAATTTCAGCATAATACATTTATTAAAAGTAGCGATGAACACTGCTATCTAAAACTTTGAAAAGGCAATGACAGTAATTTATTTGATGAAAAATAAAAGTTGGCTTTTCTCCTAATAACACTTCAGACAAAATTTCAAGTGCAGAAATGCGTAATTTTAATTTTTAATTCTGAGAAACCCTTCTTAAGTGTACCTTTCTAAATTTTTGGGGCTGAATGTAATTTTTTCAAGCAGCAGAAACTTTATTATGCCTGCCATGAAGTATATCACGCAAAAATTTTTTCAAGTTTGTAGCAGTTTCAGAAACTTTGCCAGTCTGGAGAACATTTTTTTGGGAATTTGCTGGTCCAAAAAATATGTTATGAAAATTTGCCTATCTGTGGGCCTGAAGAGGTTGGGGACCACTGGTTTCTAATACTTTGTATCCTGGTTTTGTTATTTTCCAGTTGCATGGCAACAAAGTTGTCATGGAACTGTAATGTACACAGCTCCATCAGTCATTAGCATTTGCTCATACCCACTTCACTTTTTCTGCCTGGGGTTCATTGAACAAAGTCAAATTCATATTTTCCTTTGTTTCTTGTATGTTATGGAATGTGTTTCAGTATAACAAACTTTCTAAAGAAATCAGGATAGATTCTCTGGCTAGATAATTAAAAAACTGTAGAGCAGACACAGTTTGATATTTCAGATCCCAAGTGATATTTCAGATCTGATTGATTACAGGCAGGTCAGATGTGAAAAAGTCTTCCATTCATTAATTTTAAAAATCTCATAGCAACAATGTTATTCAGTATGACCAACTTTTTCCGAAGTCCCCAAAAGTTTGTTGTAATGATATTTCATTCAACTGTTCAACAGTAAGAAGTGTTGAAGGAACTTTCACGAATGAAGGGAATTTCGTGGATTGATTGGACAATATGAACAGATGGCGTGTGTGTGTTGCACAACAACCCGAACTCCACCCCGCGGATGAACCCCAGATAGGTTATCACTTTCCACACCTGGGAAGCAGTGTTGTTCAACAACAGTTCTCCCCAATCTCATCCCACGGATAAGTAATTTGCGTAATAACAACCCTCGTGATTTCCTGTTTCGTGTATTGGCTCGAGCATTGTGTGTGTGTGATGAGTTAATTGAAAATCTGTAATTATTGTTTCTCTCGCACAGGTCAGACTCCTCGCGACATTATCGAGGAAACACCGTCTGCAGTGGTTGCCTTTTTCCCTGGTGCTCTCTCTCTCTCGTGCTGCCCTGTATTTTCGAACATTTCGTGAAAACCCCGCCGGGTTTCGGTGGAATGCGTGGATGAATCACTAGGACTACTACATGGAGCCATCGTCGTCTTGGGTGCCGGGCATTTCCATCCTGTGTGCGCGGCGTAGTGTGTCTTCTGTTCCGGTATGAGTGCGCGAGTGTTCGTGCTGGTTCTCGGTTCCCATTCATCCATCCGCTCGTTTGTGTGAAGGAAGTGTTCTTTATATTTATATATATACATATATAACCGGTGGTAAACATGGTGAGTGTCTTTGACTTATGTTTGAGTCTGTTATCGAAATCAACGCGTAAAGTAATCACTTGGATTTAGAGCGAGGCTTTGTGTGGCTTGCTGGATGTTTTTTTGCGCGTTCATACGATCGAGTTGTTATTGGAGGAATTGAGTTAAGTGGAAGTGGATCAGTATAATGATTCGGAAGCACGTATAGTCGAGGAAACTTGAAATCCAGTGATTAAAAAATGAGACGTTCGTTATAAGTATAATTGAGTGCTTCGTTCTTGATCTATGTTATTTTTCTGAGGTTCTCAACTGTAGATCTTCATTTGTGACTTTAGCTGGTCAGTGAGGACTTGAAAAGTTATTCGAAAGCATCGAGTTGAGGAACTGAAACGAAACGTGAAATCGATTGATTGAAAAAAAAAGCTATACGATCGTTGAAAGTTAAATTAAGTGCTTCTTTCGTAATTTATGTTATATTTCTGAGGTTCTCAACTGCGGATCTTTTGTGACTTTAGCTGGTTAGTGAGGACTTGATTAATGCTTCGAAAGCATCGAGGGTCTATGAGATTAAGCGACACGTGAAATCCAGTGATTGAAAAAATTAGACGATCCTCGAAAGTTAAATCAGCTTCGTCCTTGATATATGTTCTAATTCGGAGGTTCTCAACCACAAAGCCCTCCTTCGATTTTTCCTGGTCAGTTGGGGTTTATTGATTTAAATGCACCCAGTCGAAGAAATGCATGGACACGTGAAATCCAGTGTTCAAGAAATATTAATGATCGTTGAAAGTTCAATGAAGTGCTTTGTCGTTAATTGTATGTTCTATTTCGGAGGTTCTCGACCACGGAATCCTTGTGAGTTACGAAAATACTGTATAGCTAGTTAGCTACTGTGTTAAACAATTAAATGAAGAAATTCGAAAAAAAGAATTCCCTCTTGGCGAAGCAAGGAACGGGTTTAATTTGACGACGAAGCGATTAAAAAACACTGATTTTTTGGAAGCACAGAAGTCCGATTTTATAATGCTTCAATTCGGTATGACGAGAAAATTTTTAATTTCCATCTGGGCTCAAGCATTCAGGCCTCTTGAAAGAAGTCATGGTTAGTGAGTCAATTAGACAAAGAACATGAAGCAATCAAGTTCTTCAGCGGCTCCGCGATTACAAAGAAAAAGATTGTATCAAGATTCAAGAGTTTCACGCGTCAAAAAATAAAATGCTGATAACCTTAGTCTATTTGATGGTTTGACAAATTCAGGGCTGATCTCATTAAGATGCATGATGTACCCATCAATGAGGGGAGTCGTATTGTGAATGGTACCAAATGTGGCGTTTCTGTGGTTTTTGCTGTTTTATAGAAGTACCACTGGGAGTCTCACGATTACAAGCGGGCCGGTGTCGATGACATGGTCCTCCTGACGCAGATTTCGGACACGGCCGTAGTTGAAAACCTGAAGAAACGCTTTTTGGACGATTGCATTTATGTAAGTTCATGAAACTGCTTATTTTACTTAGTGCGATTGCTTTTGTGCATAAAATTAACGTATTTACACGAGTACCCTCGAGTAAGACACGCACCAGAGATTTTTAGTCAATTTTTTAAAAACAAAATTGTATCCTCGAGTAAGACACCTATTTTTACACCCTTTTTAATTACTCTAAAACTGGAATATTTAAAAAATAAGAAAAACCCGAATTAGAATATAGACATGAATTGATCCCAATTCAACTAATTTTCAAATATACTACATTTCTCTGTTGAGATTGGTTGACAATTTTTCCATTAGAATATAAAATAACGAACGCTGAAACTTATAACAATTTTTGAAAAATGTATACACGCCTATAAAGCGCACCCTTTTTTTCACTCTCAATAAAAAAAGGGACTGTTGTACTCGAGTAATTAATATATTTTTCTATCATATTCTGAAAATTGCGCTTTCTGTTTCCTTCTAACGTACAATACAGTACTTTTGAAAAAAAAATTATCCCAAATTATATAGAAACGTCTTTCTAATTGCTGAACTGTCTCGGAAACGAGGAATGCCGGAATAAGCTGTTCAGTACGGTTTTGTCCGAGTGCCAATCTGCGGTACTTGCCTTGAAATAGTATTCTGAAATATTTTATGTTGGACAAGTTCAAGATAAGGATTGTTAGTATGGCCAATTTAAATGTAATCCTTGTGTAAACGTAAAATAATGTTGATTTGCTTTTGTTCGATCGTTTTTCCGAGGGGATGACCGAAGAAAATAGAAAACGAGCTGAATATCTGATAGAAGGGAAATGATACTTTTTTTTTAATACAGTTCTGTACAATGTTTTTTTTACAATGAGAAAAAAATTTGTTTTGTAGATGAAACTTCATGATGAAGTAGTCGAAGATGTTTTTGAATGTTGCACTGTACAACCAGCTGATCGGTACAAAATATTTATTTGGGTTTTTCACAGTATCCGAAATTCAACTTTTCGTCATTTCGTTCTTGTTATTACTACATCGAAATTTTCTTTGATTTTACTGCTCTGTTATTTATCTTGCGTAATATACGAAGCTTTTTTTTCTGAAATCAATGGGAATTACCGCAATTAATTATTTCAAGTATCGTAAAACGTCGAGTTGGGCGACTGATTTTCTCTGGAGAATTCAGGAACAACGTGCTATGTTTTAAATCTTACTGAACATCTTGTGAGACGCGTGGAAGTTCGACAACTCATTAATTGAATCCCGTTTATTGTTTTAAATACTTTTTATTTTGCTTGCATTTCCTTCAGAGAGGATTTCCCACTAACGGGCAGATTCCAACTGTTCGACGATATAGTCGATAATATGAAGGTATTACAGCTGAATCAATTTCTGTCCAATAATTATACTTTCTCAACAAATGAAATAAATTTTAAAAATATTGTTCATTCTTTGAAAAATCTGGGAAAATTTTCTGTCACCTGAAAAATAATTTGAAAAATAAATACTTTCAATACTAGAGCCAATCAAAGTTTTTCGTTGTACACAATCACAATATAAAAAAACTGTGACTTATTTTTACAGCAAAATTCCCTTCTAGGTTATTTTTGTATAATTGTATTAATTAATAATTATAAAATATATGATACACTCATGTTATCTCTGATTTTCTGGTAGATTTTTTTCCGCATTTTTTTTTGCCAAAAAAATCATTTCCTCCGAATGTGTTTGATTTCCAACTCTTCACTCCGTCTCTACTTCAACCTGAGTGACCAAAATAAAAAAAAAATGTTACTATCAAAGAATCACGTTCATGTCTGTCTATCTAAAAGGAATGAAATAAAATACTGTACGAGGAGTCTGAAAAAAAAAAATTTCCAGTAACCCTCGTGAAAATGTGCAAGTAATCTTCGTGCTGGCAGCCGTACTTTTCATCTAGAAAAATTCCTGTAACGCAATACTGACGGGAAATCGTAAAAAAGTTTTTCTGCATTCATAATATTTCGACAGTAGAAGATCAGCCTTTTTTTGTGTTTAATAACGGCTTCTTCGTAAGTAATGTATATAGCATTTTCTCGCCACTTATTTTTTTTGCCGATAAGAAGCTTTTGAGTGGAGATCTCCAGAAAACTTCCCGCGGAAAATGCGTGTCCATGTTATATTTTGTATCTTCCCGATATGTTCATAGTTTATTTATTTATTTTCCTTGTTAGACGTACATTGGACCCGTTCTGGTATCAGTGAACCCTTTCAAGTCACTGCCTTTGTATGACGGGAAGAACGTGGAAAAATACCAAGGAGCCGTGAGTAATACTTTGGTCGTCCGGAAAGCGGATCGGATTTGTTTCAGATTATCATTGGTGTGCTTTTTTTATTATTTTATTTTACGCATTCTCAGGCTCAGTATGAAAATCCACCACACGTGTTCGCTCTGACTGACGAAATGTACCGGGATATGATGATTGAGAATGAAAGCCAGTGTGTCATCATCAGGTAAAATGAACCACGGTATTTTCGAGTCATACAAATTTCACAGAGTTTTTTTTTTTGTTAATCTCCGTATTTACGCGAATGATGAGCACTCCTTTCTACAAATTTTTGCTGCTCAAAAACTAGAGGTGCTTGTCAATACATTATTTACATATATGTAAATACTGTATGTGTCTGTGTCGGGAAATTTTCAGGTAAAATAAATTCAGTATTTTCGAGTAATGCAAATGTTCCTGAGTTTATTTTTTATTTATTTTTTGCTATCTCCGTATTTATGCGAATAATAAGCACTCATTTCTACAATTTTTGCTGCTCAAAAACTAGAGGTGCTTGTCTATATTTACATATATTTAAATACTGTATATGTCTGTGTCGGGAAATCTTCAGGTAAAATAAACTCAGTATTTCCGAGTCATACAAATGTTCCTCATCAGGTAAAATGGCCTCAGTATTTTCGAGTCATACAAATTTTCCTGAGTTGTTTCTTTTGCTATCTCCGTATTTATGCGAATAATACGCACTCCTTTCTACAATTTTTAGCTGCTCGAAAACTAGAGGCGCTTGTCTATATTTGCATATACTGTATGTACATATTTGCCTGTGTCGGGAAATCTTCCTGTTCGCGGCACACAAAACTATCGAGAACTTCCTTTGTGCCTTTTATGTCGGAATTGAAATTTGAAAAAAAAACAAAACAATAAATGATCAACTCTTAGCACTTCAAGATGTATGAGTCATTGACTGAAGGGGGAGAGAAATGGTTTTGTGACGTCGTTTTTCCTGTTCTGGGGAAACCTAAATTTAATGAGAAGTTTTGGGTTCCTGGAAAGTTAGAATCCCAGGAAAGTAACCGTGTGCTTATTAGGATTTGCCTATTGATGGAATTTTATTTTTTTTTGCATGAGAAAATCGAAGAGAGGGGTGCTCATATTTGCGTAAATATGATGCACAGTAAGTGATTTGCTCAAGGGCTGCTTTCGACCTGCTAAATCTTATTTCTTTGAGTCTTGAAGTGATCCGTATGATTATGGAGTTTTTGACCAAGGAAGATGAGATAATATGCTAGTGAAGGGAAAAACCATGACATTGTCTCAGCAAAAAAAGTTTCCGCGAACCAAGGAAAACATTTTTTTGTTCGGTCTTTCAGGACGAATCCTAATGTGTGATTCATTCGCTTTATTATTTTCCCCCCGAGACAAAGACGATATAGAGACAAGAATCTTTTTTCTTCGTCTTCTGAGTAGTCCATGATTCCTTTTCCTGAAAATTGTTGGTCCTGAGGTCGGTGGACTTCTTCTCTTACATTTCGAAAAGGCAACGAAATTTAATTTCCACTCGTCTTCAGGTACCAAAACTGTTCGCGTTTCTGGATGATGTCATTGATTTTCTCTTATTTTTCCGCCTTCCTTTGACGAATATTTCATGAAAATTTGCTCATAATAACTTCAAAAAAGTGTCTTCTTCTGGGTCCCCCAACGTTTAAATCGCATGATTCGCTGTACAGTAAAATATCGTTACAATAAAGCCGATTTGAATTAGCTCCGTTTCAATTTTTTTAGAAATAAAATATTGTTGAATTAGACTTCGATTAAAATAGCTTCGTTGTAAAGAAAATTTGTCATCAAGTACCTCATTTAACATTGTGACTAATAGGGGACAGGGACCCAAAAAAAATGACTTCGTTTTAAGCGATTATTCGTTTTAACGAGATTCTGCTGTAATTTTGAGATTTCACAATTTTGGGCTCTCTTCACTTGGACGCTTATTTCTCGATAGCATCCCGGGATGCAAAATAAATGCCTCCGAAATCCCTCATCAAATTTCCCGTGATTATTTGAGAGAATTTGAAATGGAATTGAGAAAAATCCGGGTGACATCTAGCATATATGTAATGACCGATAATATCATGGTGTTCGAGTCTTCAGACTTGGAATTTGAAGTGACGTCATATTGGCGGAATGGCCTCAATTCTCTCGTCTGCAAATGATGTACTGTAGCATTGCATATAATGTACCACGCTGTTCGATTGTTCAATGTGTTCTCATTTTAAATTTCTCAATACAGTATGTCAATCCGAACCAAGGCTCTGTGTATACTTCTCTCATTGCGAAATTTTTTTTTGGGTTTCTAAAAAAAAATAATGCAATGAATTTAGCGGAGAATCCGGTGCTGGGAAAACTGTCGCTGCCCGTCACATAATGAATTACCTCACTCGTGTATCCGGAGGCGGATCTAAAGCTCATCATCTCAAGGACGTCATTGTTGAGTCGAATCCGCTGCTGGAAGCCTTTGGCAATGCAAAAACCGTTCGCAATGACAATTCCAGCAGATTTGTGAGTTCAAATTCCGAGTTTATCTGGGCGTAAAACCTGACTGACTTTTATGAAGGGGAAGGAGTACACATTCATTATTTCATTTCATTGGTTGAAATAAGCTTGTTCAACAAGTAAAAGAGTTTGACCATGTTTTTGATGAAAATTATTTCAAAAAATCATTAGGAAAAATTATGTTCAAACTCATCAAAGGTCTGGAATGTCATGTAAAACTGGGGAAAATAAATGTAAAAAAATTTCAACTTGACATTCCCAGAGGTCAAGTTACATTTTTTTTCCTTTATATAAGTCTTAAATTATGATAATATGCCCACAATAGGCTTAATTTTGCATTTTAAGTCAATGGGACATCATTTATGTGGAAAATAAATTTCTGGAGACAAAAATTCAAATAATGATCATATGCTGTTTTTGGAAGGAATCTGGATTCTGTTTGGTCGTGGATTTTTGATTCTGTGTCTCTCCATTCTTGTCGCGTATTAATAACGTCTTTTCCTTGGCAAATTTTGATCTTGAATTAAATCTTTGACCTCACTCCGACCCGGAGAATTTTGCTTACTCTCACTCCTTTTGGGATAATTTGTGGAAAGTCATTTCTTAAACAGTTGAACCTTGATCATTCGAATCTTTTTTATGTGAATTTTTTTTTCAAGTCCCTGAATTCAGTTAGAAACAATGCATTAAAAATCTCCCTAACTCCAAGGCTTCCAAAATTTCAGAACTGAATTTTTCTGGGGGCAGTTTGGATACAGTATTATTTTATTGCCACAGAAAAGAGAAAAGCAATAAAAAATGTAACTGGAAGTGTTTTGAAAGGAAGTGAAAGACTAATTGGGCAAATGAATCCTTTTACCCTTCCATCCAAGTTCAGCATCCTGTCAACTCATTCAAGTAATTCATAGCCCAGAAAATCACCAAATATAATTTTCTGCAATTCTTTTTTCTTCCTCCCCCCCCCCCCCAGAGAAAAGTCTGGTTTCCCTAAAGCAAAACCTCTCTAACTTGAATTTGCTTCTTGTCTTGATTTTTGACCTAAAGAGGTATTGGGGACAAATGACCTCAGTGTAATTTGATGTTGAATGTTTGATTGATAGATAATAAAGCACATTAATCAGTCCGGGACAGGGCCAGGAAATCCTTGTCAGAATTCCTAGTTTAAAAATTAATAAAGTGTATTTCGCACAGATATAAATGAATAAACAACTCAATGAGCTTGGCTTGCAGGAATAACTTGGATAACTTGAATAACACAGCTGAACTGAACTGATCTGATTCTATTGAGAGAAGAGCTGCTTGTATGGAACAATTAATAATTAACCTTCATAAGGTTTTACTTCACAATCAAACCAAGAAAGCTAATGTCAAGTATGCTGGGGTGGCAGAATGTTCCTGGCACCGCAATTTTGAGGAGGGGGAATATTTGCTGGAGTATATTACTTTACACGGTGTGCATGCCCAACAAGAGGCTTGACTGTACAGTATTTCAGTAAATTACTGAAATTTTGAATTCTTACAAATTGATGATGAATTTTCGCCGCACATCCTTTCGTGTTTTGCCTCGGGTCATTGGAATCAAATTTTGGGTCTACCTCGTTAATTAAAGTGTGCGTTCTGGTAAAGGTTATTTCGTGCTCTCACTCAGTGATTATCGTGAAAGTTTTATTTCATTCTCACTTTAACATATTCGCAGGGAAAATACGTGGAAATCAGTTTCACGGTTGGCGGAGCCCCGAGTGGCGGTCAGGTGACAAATTTTCTGCTGGAGAAAAGCCGAGTAGTGCATCAGAATCCCGGTGAAAGGAATTTCCACATATTTTACCAGTTGCTGAGGCAGAAGAATAAGACTTTGTCCGACAGACTCGGTCTTGTGCAACTCGAGTATTTCGACTACATGCGACAAAGCAATTGCTTCAATGTCGACGGAGTTGACGATGCCTCGGAGTTTGAAGAGACTGGAAAAGGTAACTTGATTACATTTTTTTGGCGGAGAGAAGAAGAAGAAGAAGAAAAACAAGAGGAACGAAACTAATCATTGATTTAATTTTTATTTTTCTTACGAAATATGCCTCGTTTAGCGATGAAAGTCATGGGACTCGATCAGAGTGCTCAGTTTGAAATCTTCTCCATTGTTGCTGCTGTGCTTCATCTCGGAAACATCCAGTTTTTTGAGGATGGGAATTATGTTAAAGTTTCTCCAGAAACTGGTGAGTATATTTAGAATTTTTTAGAATTATTTTTGGTTCCGCGAAAAAATGGCTGGGTTTTGCCAGACGCGTTCTTCGTTGAGGTATGATCTACAAAACTGACTACTGTCGTTGGGATTACAGTGTTTTGGCGTCTGACTCATTTTCAAGTCGCCAGTCTGTCGCAAATTTCAGTCTCAGTTTTATAAAAATAAATACTGTATTCTATTTTATAAAGTTTCTGTTTTTTATTTTATAAATTTCTGCTTGCGAAGAGATTTTGTATCAAAATGAAAAAAAAAATTATAGAGTTTCATCTCCATCAGTCGTGCATAATTTTGAAAACTGTTCGAGGATGAAGAGGGATGCTGTCTCATTTTACTTGGAAACTAGCAAATTTGTATTGTTTCCGAATTACTTTCTAAGTTTCAACGCAGGAAACTGGTTTAATGGTGGTTCAAAAAATTTCGTGTGATCGGCGAATAAAAAAAAATCTTCGGCTGTAATTGAAGTTGGTTCCCGCCTAGAGTCTAATAGGAAATTAATCCGTTTTTATGCTAAAATCACCTCACAACCTTGAAAAAAAAACAAGAAGAAAAAAAGCATCACAAGTCGCATCGCAAATCAGTACCCTTTTTGAGTTCATGACCCGCGAAATTTCGGTGAATTCTGCGCAAAATTGACGCAAATCCTCTTTTTCCCTTATTTATTTATTTATTTATTTATATATTCCGTGAACGACATTTGGCATTTCTCCAGGGTTATCTCACCATCATCTTTTCTACATTTTAGATAAAGGTTAAAACGGCGAAGAAATTTTTTCAATTTTCAGCTGGCTGGAGAAATTTTTAGCTTCTTTTCGTGACATGGGTGGAGAATTATGATCGTCATTGGAAAATGTAATCTTCTCATGCAGTTAATTTACAAAAAAATTCCTTAAAAATCCTTAAAAACTCACAGAACCTTACAAGATCACGGGTTATATCATTTTTTTGCAGTTTTACCTAGTCTAGAACTAACCAAGGTCGCGCCTAAGGGGGACAACCCTGGAAATTAATCTTAGCTGAGGGTTTTCACCGGAAACATTCATCACTTGCATATCTACTCTTCCTGATGAGTCACAATGAGAACACAGACTAAATTTTAAATTGTTCCTACAAACTCCCTCTCTCATGGAAATTAACACTGGGCAAATACGTGCTTTTTCCTCTGAGCATTGTTAATTTTTAGCTTACCGAATTTTTCATTTGACCCTGGAAAAATACCAAATTCCTTTGATGGAGAAAAAGTCGGGGGGAAATGGAGATTTGCTTAGATTTTGCGCCGCATTCACCGAGATTTCGCTAGTCATGAACTCGAAAAATGTAAACGTACTGCTTTGTGATTCCATTCCGAAAAATTAGGAATATAAAATTTTATTTCAGGTTTTGCTGGTTTTTTTTTAGCACAATACTGTACAGGAACATCGCCAAGTCTTGGAATTGTTTAAACTTGTGTTTCTCGTTGTTTTCATCCAGCTGCATACCCTGCTTATTTGCTCGGAGTTTCGGAAGACCTTCTCCGACGGAAATTGGAAAGTCACGTGATGGAGTCCAAGTGGGGAGCCACGACGGAAAGCACGGAGTTGCTTCACAACTACGAGCAGGCGTGTTACGCGAGAGACGCTCTTGCCAAAGAGCTGTACTCGCGGATGTTCAACCACGTGGTGTTGTGCGTGAATCAGGCATTGGCCAACCGGAACGAGGACCAAGTGCGGATCGGGATCCTGGATATTTACGGATTCGAGGTCTTTGACTCGAACGGCTTCGAGCAGTTTTGCATCAACTATGTGAACGAGAAGCTGCAGCAGATTTTCATCGATTTGACTCTGAAGGCTGAACAGGTAAAATTGTGTTTTTATTTTTTTTTCGACTTCATATTCCCTGGCTTTGATTGGTTGAAACCCAGAAAAAAATAGATTGAAAACTGTCCGAGAAANTTCACAACTACGAGCAGGCGTGTTACGCGAGAGACGCTCTTGCCAAAGAGCTGTACTCGCGGATGTTCAACCACGTGGTGTTGTGCGTGAATCAGGCATTGGCCAACCGGAACGAGGACCAAGTGCGAATCGGGATCCTGGATATTTACGGATTCGAGGTCTTTGACTCCAACGGCTTCGAGCAGTTTTGCATCAACTATGTGAACGAGAAGCTGCAGCAGATTTTCATCGATTTGACTCTGAAGGCTGAACAGGTAAAATTGTGTTTTTCTTTTTTTTTTCGACTTCATATTCCCTGGCTTTGATTGGTTGAAACCCAGAAAAAAAAAGATTGAAAACTGTCCGAGAAAGGTCCTATGTCAGGATTCTTGAAATGCGAAGAATACATTTCCATTTCTTATTGTCTTCGGAAATTGCAGACTGTTTTATTTTACGGGTAAATTTAACTGGCGGTCGAACTTTTGTTTCGATTTTAAATAACTGAGTCATCACAATTGAATTTTGACAGTTTTTGGGTGCTCTCCTTATGAAAATGTCGTATGAGTTATGAGTGAAAATTGGATAAATGTACTGAACGTCGGACTATTTTTATTTTCTCAACTAAGTTGATACAAATTTTAATGCAATTCTCAAAGTGAAATTGAGCATTGTTGAGAGTAAACCAGATGATGGGTATATGAAGAACTTTATGTGGAACCCAAACGAATTTTTTTCCATAGAGGAAGTCTTCATTGCAGACGTAGAGAGAGAGAGAGTCTATCTGTATATAGACTGTCCTATTCGATTTTTGAATTGTTCTGTTATGGGTAGGTGTCGCTTACAGTCACAAATGCATTTTCATTTCACGTTCCGTCATCCAAAGTTTCAACTGTTCATGTTTTCTTCCTCCAGGCGACATTTTTTGCTGGCTTTCTGTTTGAATCTTTGTAAAATAATGAGGACTTCTTGCATTCTCTTTCAATTAAAAAAATCTTATACATTATTTATCTTCACGAATTTTGATTTACAATTTTCAAGATTCGAAGCTCTCCAAAAAAGCTGTCTACCGAATGCAAATAGGGTATCATCAACGATTTTCTGTCTTGATTTTTTTTCGGTCCTATGGGTATCTTCATACAATTATTGTATATCTATTTTGCCGAGGTCTTCTACCCCAAAATTCTCCCTACAACGAATTTTTTCCGGTCCCCTGAATGTCGTTGTATTAGATAGAGTCCACCTATAATTTTGTACAGACTGCTGTGTATGCATATATTTCCTCTCTGGCAAATCGATTTTTCTTTGAAAAAAAAAAAATTCTTCGCAGGAGGAATATCATGTGGAGGGAATCAACTGGACACCAATCGAATACTTCAACAACAAAATTGTCTGTGAATTGATTGAAGGCAGGAATCCACCGGGTTTGATGTGCATCTTGGACGACATTTGCGTTTCTATGCACGCAGTCAGTGAAGGTTCAGACGAGAATTTCTTGAAGGTACGTAATTTTGAAAATTTCAATTTATATTATAATAGTTCACTCGTAATTCCTTCCTAAGTTTTTTTTCTTCAACCGTTGACATGGATAGTTTTACGGAGTTTTATTTGATCATTTTCGGACTAGTGTTCCTGTTTTTATTCGCTCGGGTTGAGATTAAGGAAACGCCGGGAGTTGAAAGTGCTTTTTTTTCTTTACTGTGATGAGACATTTATATTTTTATGTGTAATAAGATTTGAAAAGTACTTTGATTGCCCAATGATCTCCAAATTATTGGAGAAGCTCTTTAATGATATTTTTTCTCGAACAGCCGTGTTCCATTTAATTTCATTTTTTGGTTCGAGTTAGGCATGAAGGTTGCTATAAAAATTAAATTTTAATTACTGCAGTAAAATTTACGAATAATTTGCCCGAATAACAACCACAATAAACCTTCGGTAAATGAACAAGAGCTTGGTTCAAATCTTGATGTTGATCTCTCATTCAGTTCCAAGGATTCTGACTTATTAATGCCCGGAGAAATTTAATTGTGAGCGAACGGAAAAACTTGCGAACCCACTTTCTTTAGTTCCTTCTGTTATTTCCAGTAATTTTTCTGCATGTGACGATGACATTTTTAAATAATGCGGGTGCACGAAAAGTATTGAAAATTGAAATAATTCATGGTTTTGTTCGAGCTCGGTTTGAACTAGGATTTCTTCTTGTCATTGTGGGAAGTGTTTTCTGTTCTTGATCAGAAGAAGGGTCATAGTTGACGATAACGTCGAGGTTATCTAAAATCGCGTGTTTTCTTTCTTGATCTCTAGAAATCAAGAGGAGCTGTCGGAGATCATCCCCACTTCATGGTATCAACGAAATCGTTTGTTATCAAGCACTACGCCGGCACTGTTGAATACGACGCCGACAGCTTTTGAGAGCTTTGCATCAGGTCCAGTACTTGGGGTTGAAGGAAAATGTGCGGGTTCGTCGTGCGGGTTTTGCTTACCGCCGGCCCTTTGATAAATTTCTGAGGAGGTGAGAATGATCCATCAACAAATCTTTAGCTTCCCACGCTATTTAGACCTTTTAGTACTGTATTAATGTGAGACGCACCTTAATTTTGTGCCGCGGAAATTTGATCGATTTTGAATGCATATACAGTAGCACTTTTTTTATTCGTAATTATCAAATTTTGCGATAATCAAAAAACACTTGTTCCTGTAATGTTCATGTTTTCAACACTGATGCTTCGATCTCTGATAAAAATCGGGTTTCTGATCACTTGTATCCCTGAGCTGGAAATTTTAGTGAATGCTTGAGTTTTATTTTTGAAACTGCAAAGTATTTTTGCATTTTATAACTTATCCCCTTTTTCCTTCAAGCCTTTTAGCACAAATTCGTGGTTGAGGAAACATACCATATTTAAGTGAATATAAGCGCTCCTTTTTTACAGTTACGGAAGTTAAAAAATTGATGGGTGCTTGTATTCGCAAATTTATGCAATTCTCCGGAATAAGCGTCTTTGTATTCGCAAATTCATGCAATTCTCCGGAATAAGCGTCTACATGAAAAAATCATGCTGTTTTTGCCTACAAAACCGTTCAGCATTTTTTCTGCAGTCCTTTTGGAATTGAACTCCCTCCAATTGTGGCCAAAATAGGTAGAATAATTGTCAAAACGAAAACATGCGTATGCAGCATAATACGGCAGTGGGTTTCCGTCATCAGGAGCGTTCTCATAATTTTTTTGAACTTCCGTAACTCATCTATTGAACAGGTTTTAAAATATACTTCACTGCGTTGGTCGGCAATCCGTTCCGAAAACGCTTTTATTAAATACGAGCGAAACGTTTTAAGTTCAACGCGAATCTTTGACTTCGGGGTACTCCGTGAAGAATGTGCTGATGGGTTTCTTTCAACAGGTACTCGATTCTTTGTCCTCGAACTTGGCCGAAATGGTTCGGAGAACCGAAGGAGGGCGTGAAACTCATTCTTACGAGCGTGGGTCTGGATTCGAGTCAATGCCAACTAGGGAAGACCAAGATTTTTATAAAAGCTCCGGAATCTGTAAGTACTGGACTCGTTGTCTTTGTGGGCGTTTTATCGCCGTTTCGTGATTGATTACGATGTTGTTCCTATATATGCGAAAAATATCCATTGAAATTGATGTTTCCGCGAGGGGTTTCTGAAAAGTCTTTGTATTTTCAACCACGAATCGTGATCTTGACCGAATATAAATTATCATATTTTAGTAATTTACTTTTGATGACGAAGACGTTCTCCCACAGTAAACATAACCTCTTATTACCTCTGAACATAAGGTTAGTTATATGTCATGACTAACCTTTTGAAGAACTTTTTATATAAACTCGAAGCTTAAAAATGCTCTTTAAAAGTTTCGCTATAATTTGATAATATAGATTTTTTCTGCGAAAGTCGCGGAAAAGTAGTATAATCAGTGTTTTAGCCTCATTTCACCTCTGCCAAATTTTTTGCGTTTTATTTTTTAAATTTGCGTTTTATACTCTTGCTTCGAAAAACGTACTCGTGCGTCGAATTTTCACTAGAGGATCTGTAACGCGATATTAAAGTATTATTTTACTATTCCGCGACAGTCTCAAATGTTCTGGCCTCATTTCACTTCTGCCAATAGGTTGTTGCGATTTTTCAAAATTTGCTATTTATTCTCATTTTCTACCAGGAAAAATTAATTAGGATGAAAATTTCCATCCGAAAGATGCTTTAGCAGCAGATGAAGAATCGAAGTTTTCTCATTAAATTTGAATTGTCTGGTTCAATGATTGACAAACTCTCCGAAAAGTCTTTCAAAATGAAAATGTAATCCCTCTGCTCCAGGAAACCCTTTCTGTGAATTCGACTGATTTTGTTTCACAGCAATAATTGGTCAGTCAGATTTTATTCTCTTACAGTATGGATTTCTGGAGACTATAATGTAGAGCTCATAATAATAATATGATAATAATATAATAGTAATATAATAATAATAATAATTATAATAATATGTATAGCTGTAATGTAGCTCATAATTTAGAGGATGCAATTTTTACAATATCATAAATGGAATCCATTCAAAATTAACTTTGCGGTCTTGAAAAAATTGCTACTATGCATCATTAAAGTGTTGTACCGTAATAACCTGGCTAATTTTTCTTCTTGGGGAACGTTACAGCTGTTCGACCTCGAAGAATCGCGGCAGAGGAAGTTCGACGTGTACGCCCGAGTGATACAGAATGCGTTCCGCAACCACTTTGCCAAGCAGCGCCGCCTCGTCATGTGCACGGAGGGCGCCGCTGTGTTGGGCGGCCGGAAGGAGCGCCGCCGGAACTCGGTGAACCGGAGCTACGTTGGGGATTACATCGGCGTCGACTCCAAGGCCGAGATGCGTCAGTTTATCCCGAGGCGGTGTCGGGTGGAGTTTGCGCAACGGGTGTCGAAATTCGACCGGCGGTTCAACGTGAGTTCTTGTTGTGCTATTTGAGATTTTATTCATTTGTTTCGCCGGTGAATATTCCGCGGCTTACCTCGTATTGAACGTTTTTACCCCAATTTTCCATCCATCTGCCACAATCAAATATTTACGAAACGACAAAATCCCAAAAAACTGGTTTTTGTTCAATTCTTTGAATTTTTTTTAGCATGACCACCATGTAGACGCAATGCATAAAATCTGGAATCCACTCTCTTGAAAGGGAAATTGAGTTGAAAATCTCTTTTTCAGGGACTTGGGTATTTCAGCTGACTTTGTTTACTGCTCTGCACACTTTCTGAAGTGAAATTGACCTGAAAACTCTTTTTTTGTTTGAGATTTGATGGTCTTGCTTGAAAGTTTGTGATTTTGTGAATTTAGAGAAAAGCAGAAGCAAGGAATTACTGTTTGCGTAAAATTGTAAGTTTGGCTGTGATTCTGCCGCAGCTTACAAAATTTGTGTATCGTCCTTGAAAAGTCTGCAAGAGCAGCTTCTGGAACTGGCAATATCTATGATTCCTGTGTTTATTTATTGGTTTCGAGTATTTAATTGGGATGTACGTCTATTGCAAACATTTTAGAAGTTTCAGTTTCAATTTAAAATTTTATGACAAGACATCGAAGGGGCACGCACTATCGAAGTTATGTTTAGCACAGAAGAAGCGACATCTAGCAACAGATTCCGAAGTGTCCACTAGCAATCTCTTGCTAGATGTCGCTGCTGTGCAAAAGGTAACTTAGAATCTTAGATAACTCATCATAAAATTTGTACGCATCGACACCTGCCCTCGCTGAAACATGTTGTTGCTGTATCGTACAAAAGCGTTAAAATGTACAGTACAGTATTGTACTGTGTCGTACTTTCAAGAGTAGTGACGTGTACCTTCTTCTTCTGGATATCTGTGCAAAGAAATGTGGGGTGTACACCACATTTTTAGATAATTGGGTGTATATATGTCCAAAAAGTCGGACGTGACTTGGTTGGGTGCACGTTTTCTGATCAAATTTTGAAATTTGGCGTGTGTTATGCTCTAATCACACGGATAAATTGTGAAAGCTGTCGAAAAGTTACAAGAATAAACCTTCTGCAGTTCGAGAGGAGACTCTGGATAACTTTATGTTTGTCTTTGTTTCATATTTCGAAATTGAATTTATTGAAAATTGAAATATGTATCTATCGCGGATTTCAGTCGTGACTCGATTAATCACCAATTTATGCGGGATAAATTTTTATCCAATTTTTTCTCTGCAAGATCAAGGCGCAAACGTTTTTTGAGGGCTGGTAGTACTGTACTTGAGTAGATGTACAGTTGTTGAGAATCCGTATCATTGCGGTATTTCATGCATTTTTACTGACATTTTCTATATTTCGATGAGCATCATTTTTCATTGTAGGCATTTTCTGACGAAGCACGATTTATTTTCTGTGTGATTGAGCTACTCCATGTTTTCCCGAAGACAATGTTGAGATATGGAATTTCAAGTGTGAAGGGAACAGCTTTTGGTTGATGAAATGTGCAACCAAATTGTTTCTAGAAAGTTTCTGAGCAGGAGAAAACGAAATATGTATAAAATGAGAATTACAGGAGGCTAAAAGATAATTTCGAGGGTTTTATTTTTGAAATGTTGTCAGAGCATCAGTTGCTGCTCAAATTTCCGCCTAAATTTGCGTTATCGTGATTGAAACAATCTTGTTCTATTTCCTGTCTACAAACTTTAGTGCAGAAAAAAACGTGTCTGAACATAAATAACTCAATTTATTTTGCCCCACGGAACCTTTTCTGGATAACTTAGTTTATGCGGAAGGACGGTCATCTGTTCTCTTTCAAAAAATCGTTCCTCTTTTTTGTTGTTGTTGTAGCTAATGTATTACGCAAATGCTTCCAACGTGGGACGTTTGTGTCAGAATACTCAGAAATGAGTTCAGTCACACGAGTTACCCATTAAAAAAAAGAAGCGTGAAAGGCAAATTTGTTCTGCTCTCCTGCCGATTACTGCTTCAGTACGTGTTTAATTTGACAAAAAAAAACCGGGAGATCGCTAGAGAATTTAGGACGACTGAAAATAATTCACAGTACAGTAATTTTAATTTTGTCTTTTATAATCTCCACTGTTGGCGACGTGTTGACACGTACAGTATTTTTTAAATCGTGGAAATGTTCCACAAATTTTCGTCGGGGATGCTATCATTTCCTTCCAAATTCCATGACCATCTTCAATGTATAAATTTATATTTCTGGACTATTTTTGTTGTTGTTGAGTGAGGCTCAGCAGCGCTGTGATGAAAGCTTGTTTATATATTTGGTATTCTAAATTTTGCGCGAAGAGAATATTCTTTAAATTATTTTATTTATTTTCTGTGAAAATAAATGATGTCCAAATTTCACAAAACTGCGATTGTATATCGTTTATTTAAAATATGGGGGGTTTAATTTTGCACTCTTGAGAATGTTTAACGAGTAAGTGGTGGAAATGATGACGAATAAACAGAAACTAAAAAAAATAATTATGGTTGTGTGCTACAGTCACGGATTTTCCAAAGGCGTTTTTAGAAAATATGCAAATAGAAAAAAAAAGACCGGATGTGCTTGTCGCAAGTAATTTTTACCCAAGGTCTTGCTCCTTATACTGTTACGAATATGGGAATGGCCCAGAAATTCTCTCTGCCTTTGTTATTTCGAGGTTATGCAATTTGTCTTGCTGCTCGTCTCACTTGAATTTTCTCTTTGAAGAAGAGGAAGAAATATATATACATGTATGTATCTATATCTATACAATGCTGTGTACGAGGGTTGGTTCATAAGTTTTGAGACTTCTCGAAATAGATCCGTCGGAGTTTCAACAATTGCAAAAATTCTTTTGTACTCCCGTATAGCCCCATAATTTGGCAACACTTCAGAGCTGCTGAACCTACTCCCTGCCGATTTTTATGCATTTTTTTCATGCAATAAATCAAGAGGGTGCCTGATCAACTAACCGAACTCGATTTTCGGCACGATTTTAATCGATGGATTTATCGAATAGAAAAATACACAGAAATCGGCGGAGAGTATGTTTCACAGCAATGAAATGTTGCTAAATGATGGGACTAGCGAATAAATGTTTTATTTATTTTGAATTTTTGAAAGTCCGTTGGATATAATTTGAAAAGTCTCAAAACTTATGAACCAACCCTCGTATATAAATATATATATGGGAATATCTATACTGCTTTGAAAATTTGACGAAGAACTTGTTCGTGAATAATTTTTTGATGGGACTAGCGAATACAAATTTCATTTGGAATTTTCATGTTGAAAGTCTGTTGGATCTAATTTTAAAAGTCTCAAAACTTATGAATCAACCCTTGTTCATATATATGTACATATATATACTGTATTATAAATATTCATTGTACAATATTGAAATTCATTTTTCAGCATTTTTCCTCTTTTTCTTGCAGCGTTGCGACCGGGATTTAATTCTCTTTTCCCGCGGAATCGTTCTTATTGGGGAGGAGAAAACTGCGAAAGGACCGGATAAAGGAAAAGTGGCAACTGTCAAGAAGCTGGAAGCTCGGTTTGAAGACATCTGCGAAGTTATTTTATCTCCTTTCCAGGTTTGTTATTTTTCTTTGTTAAGTTATTCCTGTGGGTTCGAGATAAAAATGCCGCGGAGGGAAAAATTGCCGGGCAGACGATACTCTGACAGCGAGGACATTTTGTCAAGTCTGATTAAATCAAATTTTGAGGAATAACACGTGTCACAATTTAAAAATGTTTACAATCGTTCTGTTCTTCATTGTATTTTTTTCACCATGATTGTGAATAATTCGAATAAAAATTCCATTCCTTCCTCCATGGAATTCAAAATAATTTTAATGCGCATGTATGTTTATGTATCTTATGATTTTTGATAATCAAGTGTATTTCAGGACTACGAAAGTCCCATTTTTGAATGGCTCAGCATCATTACAAAGGGGGAATTTTGTGCTCCTGAAATATATATTTGTTATCAACGAAAAAAAAGATCATCACGCGAAAGCAGATGAAAACAAGTCTTCATTATTTTTTTTATGTGTGCAAAAAACGTATTTCAGACGATTTTTACGGAGTGAATTTGGTGTAAATTATTCAAGTGCAAGTTCTTCGTGAAATTTTCAAAGCAGTATAGATATTCCCAGCTTGTTCTCTGGTTGATTGACCCAGTTTACTTTATTACGCCAATTACATTATAATTCAAAATTGCAATACCCCTGTTCTGCCAAAGCCTTGATATTTCTTAAGAGATCATGTGCATTTAAAGATCAAATATTTTTACTCGAAAAAAAAATGTTTCATTATTTTTGTGTGAAAGGATGGAATGGTGTTGCTTCGAGTGAAGAACCAGTTTGATTCCTTGTTGGAGATCCCGTGCAAGACCGAGTTCCTGAGGGCCCTGTCCAAATGCTACGAACACTCGGTGGGTGGTGGAGTTCCGCTGAAATTCCTCCCGGAATTTGAATTTCAAGTGAAAAACTCGGGTTGGGGCGGAGGGGGCCTTCGGAAAGTTCGTTTCGAACGAGGTAACGGGAACGTGGCTGTTTTGAAGGCCGCTAGAAAAATCCTCACGGTTTCCATTGGACCCGGACTCGATCCAGCGACGAGTGAGTGAATTCCGTTTTGTTCTTCGTTCCACTACGATGTCATTTTTGTTTTGTTTTGTTGAGAAAGCTATTTTTGTCGTAGTTTTTCATTTGGTTTAACTTTTGAAATTCTAAAACGCGATGATGTTCGTATTTTCCCCTTACGACCACTACTGAGATGGTTTTTTTTTAATGTGACGACATTTTGCCAACTTTCCATTTTTCCATGAAACTGAATTTTCTATCTAAAGATAAATCAATGATATTCTTAATTATTTGCAAGAAAGATCCGTTGTACAGTATGGGGTATAAGTGCATATGTAAAAGACTTTCAGAGACAGACATCAACTGGTCGAATGGGTTTGGTCAGAGTTGAGGTTGCAGCGACATCTGCGTGAATTTTTCGGTATTATTGACGTTTTTATCTTTGGACTGGATTGATTTTCAGGAAAAGTGTAGAAAAAAAAAGTATGATGAAGGTGAAACGCAGCTATCAGCAAAGTGGGACTGCTGATGATTTTCCTGGTCGACGTTTCAGAAAATAAATACTGCATGTACTGTACTTTTTTGAAAGATTCCAGAAACAGTAATAATCATCATGAGTATTCGATGAGATCGTTGTGTGCCCAAAAAACGCTTCAAACGTCGGATGATGGAATTCTCTGAATATAGAAAACGATGATGAATAGTTATTTCGGTAATCTTTCCGCAAATACGATGAGGTGTGTCAATCACTGCATCAGAGGAAGCCCGTACAGTTTGGCGAAAAGAAAATTGTTCGGCGAATTTTTATGGACGTATGAGGAGAATACTTTCTTATGAAAACAATCAAAAATTCGTTCAAGTTAGCGTCTTCGAAAATAATAATTTAACCCATTTATCAAACTCTCAGAAAGAAAAACTGATGTTCCCTGTCCATATTTTTTTTTTCAATTTTATTTTGGCCAGCAGGTACCGAAGCTAGCATTTTTGAATTACATTTTCGGGATTTATTCGTGTGTCAATGTTTTGGGAAGTATCGATACACATGTCGGAAGGAAATTCCATTTCTGAAAATTTTAATTTTTTTCATTTTTACTGTAAATTATTTCTTCTATTTTTAATTTTTTTGATTTAGAATCTTTCCGTTTTTTTTTATTTAGAATCTTCCCGTTTTTTTTTTTTTTAGTTTTCGGGGCTTTGAGGAAAATTCTTTGAACTCTGAATCTAGTTAAACAGATGGACTCTCTCTCTACGACGATTTCTTTGTAGTACGAATTGTTGGTGGCCCCATAGAGTTCTCTTCCCATTTTATGCGGAGTTCTCTACAACGAAGTTTTCTCTAAAATAAAATTTCTGGTCCTTTAAATTTCGTTGTAGCCAAATGGACCTTAGGAAACCGTTCTACAATATTGTATAGTGAAATCTTGTTACAAGAAAGCCCTAATGACTTGAAATGAACATTTTTTAAATATTAAAACTAATATTTTTTATGAAAAAGAATTGCATAATAATTTGACTGCTCTGTACTGAAGAATTAATTTCTTCGGAACAATCATTTTTTGTTATTGTAATTATACTTGTTTTGATGCGATTTATTGTTTTCTACAGTGCAACGAAATTTTCTCCACAAAAAGTTCGTGTTTTGGTCCTTAGAATTTCGTTGTGGAGGGGGGGTTCACCTGAATAATGCGATGATATTCGTTATAACGGCATCCTCCGTGTGTGTATATACTGTATATATACCTTATTGACTCATTGTCGTGATTCACCAGAGGAAAAATCGTATTGTTTGTCGCAACTTATTTTTTTTTCGTTTGGATGTATTTATTCACGGCAGAACCGAATGTGACGATGAGCGGGAGGAGACAATTGAATGGAAACGGCCTGGTTCCAGTCAGAGCCGCACCAACCGGGCCTTCCGTGAACCGGGCCATGACAATGAGATGTGCCCCACCTTCGCGCCTACCTCCGTCACCGCCGGTCTCGGCCGCTTTCGGCGCCACTCGATCGCCGCCAGTTGCTGCGTCTGCGTCCGCTGCTACATCTGCTTCAGTCCTGCGCACATCAGGTTGGTTTATGGGTTGCGAGTGTACATGTATATACATTTTTTTTTTATCACGTACCACGCTTTTCCCCCCTTCGAGTGGGAAAAGCATTCCAAATAATTTTGTTTTGTTTTTGAGGAATTCCTTTAAAAATCTGTTTTTGTGTAAGACCCACGCACCGGTTGGTTGTTGTTGCTGTAAGGCAAACATTGTGAAATCATTTTGTTTGTTTGGAATTGTGGATACATTTTTTCCAGTGATATTTTGTTTTTTTTGTATCATTTTTTTTCAATGCCAGCCGGAGCAGTTAAACTGTGCTTGCGATATATATAACCCGCACCCCTGTTTTTTATTGTTGCTGAAAATCAAGAATTCGGATTGCATTGCTTTCTCGATTAGATGAAAATTTCTCCTTTTCCTGTACCTTTTCCTGAATGTTATAATGATTCTTCAATGTGATGAAGTATGCATTGTGGAAAGTCTCTTGATAACCTATTGTCTTTATTGGAGAGATATTACAAATTGATTTTTTCTGAATTTTAATTCTAAATAATACTTCTGAATAATAAAAAGGAATTCAAGACAACAAATTGCTTGTCATAGTGTGAGAATTTCAACAAACAAATGCTGTACTGTATACGCTTTTAAAATCTTGATCAGTTTTTTCTGGTCTACTGAGAATTGGATAATTTGATCTTGATTTAGAAGTTCACTGCGCAATTTCCCAAGAATTTATTTGTGTATAACTTGGACTTGCGGATTTTCCAATGGAATGACACTTCATGTCCTCTGCTAACTGGTGAAATTTTGTGTTTATTTTTCAATTTCAAAAAAAAACGGTGCTCTTTATGTATTTCAGAGAAATTTGGCTTCTCTTCCAATCTGACGTTATCTCTCAATTCTTGTCGACTACCGAATAGACCACTTTATGCGTTTACCACTTGTTGCCTATCTCACAAGTTCAAGAGTAGGTGAATGATTTTGAATTTTTCACAGTGTGCTTTTTCAACCAGTATAGTGACTTATGCATTTTGAAATTCCCGAGAAACCGCGTTTTGCACCTATAGACGAACAAACGAGAATCAGGCAACACTTTTTACCTCGAAAACTCCCGTGGTAAAATTATTTTGGGGTCCATTCAAAATTTTACGAAGTTATTTTGAAGACAATTATGCATGTAAATAATACAGTACCACATTTTAAAATTAGTGCGGGTTTTCGTACGTCTGGGTTCGTGGACTGTTATCGTGCTATTATTGGAATGGCAATTTCCAATCAATTGATTTAAGAATTTAATGACCAAGTGCTGTAACGTATTCTTATTTTGGTTGAATGATCAGATGTTGGCTACCAAAAGGGAAAAATAAATCTCCAGAAAATTTTTCAAGAGTTGGAAATGACCCGTGAAATTTAAAGTTGTATATACAGTAATTTTTAATGAGTTCAGTCAGTGGATGGTCATAATTTCTTGATTCATTCCTCTTTCTGAATTTTCGTGTTTTTTTTTCTGAATTTCTGGGAAAAATTCCTTTTCCCGGGAAGTGATTTTTAATCGGGTTTGAATGCCTGTGTTTTTTTTCTCGTTTTTCTTTCTCAAGTCTGGGCTACGTAGTTTTGTACAAATGAAACTTTCTTATCGCCATTTTTTTTTTCTGCGAGACGCCGGAAATCAGATTGCGTTCACGAATTGAATCGGAGTCAATTCAACTACGGTGTCTTCGACCCGCGATTGATCACGTTCTGTGTCTGCGTTTAATTTCCTGGGAATTTTTTCTGAGTTTTTTTGTTTTGTTTTGTTGGAAAATCAAATTAAATCTTATTTCTCATTTTTTCAGGTATAAATCTCGACCGTCGTCGGTTTTTTTTTTCCAGCTTCGGTTTTGAGAATGATATCAGTGGTAGTTGACGAGTAAAGGAGGGTGCTCACGCGGAAATCAAATATTTGAAAATATCTTGAACTTGAAAAATAGGTTGCTGGTGAATTTTGTAAAGCTAACACTTTTTCCTGCTTCTCCAAGATTCAAGAGGGAATTAATCATTATTATTAAGATTTTTACTACTAATATGATTCTGAATTTTTTTATAAAAGGAGCTATATTGCATTGATGTGAATACGGTACGTTAGTGTACTTCAGTTTTCTCATCATCCCTCCCCTTTCCGTTTCAGAAGTCGATCAGATCAAGGGACAGGAGGACAATGTTAAGAACAATAATCGGCCTGTTTCCAAGTATTCATTAATCAATTTAAAAATTTGAAGAGAATCTTTGAGGAGAAATCATGAAAAGCTAGCTCTATTTCCTGGTCCTTGGAGAGTTGAGATAGAAACTTATTACTGTATTTAGAAGGTTTCTTACTTTGAAGAGGATTTGGGCTTTTAAAAAAAAAAGGAGCTGTATTGCATGGATGTGAATACGGTACGTTAGTTACGTGTACTTTAGCCTTCTCATCATCACTCCCTTTTTCGTTTCAGAATTCGATCAGATCAAGGGACAGGAGGACAATGTTAAGAACAATAATCGGCCTGTTTCCAAATATTTATTAATCAATTTAAAAATTTGAAAAGAATCTTTGAGGAGAAATCATGAAAAACTAGCTCTATTTCCTGGTCCTTGGAGAGTTGAGATAGAAACTTATTACTGTATTTAGAAGGTTTCTTACTTTGAAGAGGATTTTGGCTTTAAAAAAAAGGAGCTGTATTGCATTGATGTGAATACGGTACGTTAGTGTACTTTAGCCTTCTCATCATCACTCCCCTTTTCGTTTCAGAATTCGATCAGATCAAGGGACTCGCGGACAGAGTGAACAACAATAACTTGCACGGATTTCCGGTCGGATCACTGCCGCTTACGAGACCAAGCTTCAACGGTTCTCCTCCTTCGATCGCCGCAACGAAAGCCAATAACGGAAAACCGCCTTCAAGTGGAGTAGTGTCATGTTTCGTGTTGTTGCCAGGCTTGGACTAGCTCAGTTGTGTAAAGTTGCCTAGTGTAGGCGTAAAAAGCTTAGTAGTAGTAGTGGTGTTATTGCCAAGAAGTTTGCCTAGTACATCATCGTCGTCGTCGTCTTCATCATCGTCTCCTCCGAATAAAGACTTTCCGTCTTCGCCCAAAAGACTCGTGCCCAAAAGATCGCCCACTTTTTCGTCGACTTACTCCCCCAACGGAAATAATAGTTTGCCGGTCATGAATCCCTTTGGCACGTTGAACATGTCTGAGTTGAAACAGGCGATTGGATCCAAAGTGAACAGCGATGGCGGACGAATGTTGTCATCGCCGTCTTCGACATCGAAGTCCATGTCAAACATTGGAGACATGCAGCGGCAAACTTTGAAACCGGCTTTGCATCCGTGAGTTAGCTGCTCGTATATATTTGGGGTGACTTGTTTGTCAAGGAAGGATGCATGAGGTGCATGTGGTGTTTTTTTATTCATTTATTTTGTTTAGATATTTTTCTGTGTGTATGTTTGGTATCATTACAAGGGTTGTCCCAGTTGGACGCGACCTCTGATATTTTTTAGAGTAAGTGTGATTGTTTAAAAAAAAAAATACTGATAGCATAGCCCATGATGATCCAAGGTTCTGGATTTTTTTGTATTTTTAGTCAAGTTCTTCAATTTACTGCAAGATGATTTGTGAATCGAAAGTTCATTCTTTCAAATGTATACACCTTACATTCATTTCCGTTACTTTTTATACGATTAATGTGTTAACAAAGTACTTTTAGTACTATAACATCTTAGTTCATTAAGTAACCGACTGGAATGATGTGGTAAAACTAAGCCATCAATGTTTGTATCCTTCAGTTATGCTCCTTGGGTGTATGATATTGTAGCTCTATATTGACTCATGGCACTTGAACCAAAACTGACTGAAATTCTTGAAGCATTGTGAGTGATGTGGTTACTGCAGTGTAAATATAGGTGGTGCCCTGCAATTCAACCCTAATCCATTGCTGGACTAGGGTCAAATTTCAAAGCAATGTCAAATGTGATGCTTTCTACATTGTACTTGATGTTTTTGCACATCTCTGTGAGTTGAATTCATGGGCCTAGGTGGAATTGCTAGTTGACCTCACTGCAAATACAACCTTAAAATTGCGGGATGGTCCAATGGCAGGAGGTCAAATTGCAAGGTACCACCTGTATATTGGTTGGTGCATCAGCAGAACACCTTTTCTTATGCCCAGCATTCATAACCATTAGTATTTAAATTTTAAAAGGCTGAGATTCTCACAATTGAATAAATGGGCAAAGTTATGTGAACCTTGTGTGTGCTGACATTTGGCAAATAAAGCTTATTTATCTATCTATCAGTAAGAGCCAGAGTTCTGCACTCATGTCACAGGGTGCTAAAACTTTCAACCATTTTTTGTTTCAACCATTACCTAAAATGTAGAAACAATAATGGTTTAAAAAATTAATTTTTTTTACCTGATAAATGTTTAGCATCCTGTGACATGGGTGGAAAACTCTGGCTCTTACTGCAAAGTTTTCACGTACTGTACCATCATGCAATAAATTCAAGAAATTTCTCTTTAAAAATCTTGAAACCTCAGATCTTAGAACATGAAAGGTTATGTCATGATATTTTTTTTGTTAGTGTGGAAATGAGATTTTTGTAGTCTCCAGCGCAGGTTGACTCTGTTGGGAGTATAGTACCACAATAGTATCAACCTGGGAAAGTGTAAGATGGATAGAAACAGTTTTGTGAGGATTAATTTATTCCAGTCAATCCTTGAAATTTGTGTGAATATCCAAAACCATTGCAATTTAGACCTTAAAAACTTGAAATGATTTTGGGCCAATCCTTGTTCATTGAATGTGAATGCCTTCTTCTAAAATTCAGCCTCAATTCAATATTGTGTTGAAAAAAAGAGGAAGGGAATTATTGTCTTTATGTCATCCTCAAGAGAATTACACATCTTACCGCCGGTATAACATCTATGAATAATCAGCAGCTCCATATTTTGCTGAGAAATTTAAAATTTCCATTGATTAAAATACTGCATCTGCAAAAGTTTTCTACAGAAGAATATTATCAATATAAGTATTCTCTTTGTTCAATGAGGGTTTTTAGTCTACATACAACATAATTTTCTGGTCCACTGAATTATTTTTATGAAGAGTTAACTGGAATCCGATTTAGTCAAGTTTTCGTTCCTTTTGAGGAAATTGGCGCAACTGCAACGCAAGTTTCGTTTTTTAGCATTCCTGTCCCAATTTTGCGCGGCGCACATGCCTCAAGACTTTTTTCTGTTGCTGATGAATAAAGAATTAAACCCCGTGTTAAATGAAAACTTTGTTTCTTCTCTTCAAAAAAAAAAAAAGGAAACCCAAGCCTAGTCCCGGAGGCGGTCGTCCGAAGCCAGCATTGCAGCCGAAACCCAAGTTGCCAGTGCAGATCCAAGCACCAGCAGCTCCTCCAGCTGCCTCGGATCATCAGCGACAAAGGGATCTCCTGATGATGGCAGAGGCCTTGTATCCCTACGACGCCCGAGGCGATGACGAATTATCTCTCAAGGTCGGCGACAGGATCCGGATTGTCAAAAGGGATCCCTCTGGGTGGTGGGAAGGCATTCTCAACTCCAAAGCCGGGCTTTTTCCGGGTAACTTTGTTCGCGAAATGACTATTTGAAAAGCCACGCGGGGAAGAGAAAAAAAAACCTTTATCTTTTTTTGTTTTGTTTTATATATGCCGTATACAGTATACTTTTTTTTTGGGGCTAGTTGGAAAGTTTTCAGATAGATTTTTCTTTTTTTTTCTCTGTTTATTTGACAACTAGCCCTCGTGATAGTCTTTAATTTTCTCTCTTTTTGCCAGAAGCTTTTTTTTGCCGTCTGGTTTCTGAAGCGGTTTTTGCTTTTGGTATGAATGTTTTTTTTTGCGCTTTTTTTTATACGAGATGGGCCAGGAAAAATCAGCGAAGTTTCAGTGTTAGTGTGACGATGTGATGGAAATGACAAGTGGATGATTTGGCTGTAAAATTAGGTGAGCACTTGCTGTATTTAGGTTGATTGTCATTGCTGGTTATATGCACCTCCAATTATGAATCAGACAGTTGAGACATGTGTTGGTTGCTTAATTCTCAGAACTGAAATTCAGGTCCAAGTCTTGATTTTTTCAACAATGAGCAAAGTTAAAATCTGCTCTGAAACTTGAATAAGCTGTAGAAATTTATACTGTATCTGGTTCTACCATTATGCATGTTAAATCAAGTGGTCACAGTTAACTTTGGGTAAGGTTTGGCTGAGTTCTGATTTGCAAGTCATATAGAAATAATTCTTGAAGACTTGCAGATTCCGAGCTTTTCTTGAATTTTTTTATTCTTATTTTTTTGTGATGATCCATTTTTTAAATTAAATCCAGCTGAAAACCTTGTTCTTACTTGTGGAAAATGCATAATTATTTTTGCACTTTTTTTTGGTTGATGGTGAATAATATGTTTCAATTTTTTTGAACACTGTCTGTTCAAGATCTGATTTGGTCAAATTGAGCATCTGATAGCATTTCTACTTCTGATAATTTCTGCTTATTTTTCTGAAACAAAATCATTGGTGCATATGAAAATTTTGTGGCGTAGTTCATTGAATGAGAACAGTCCACTTGCTCCTTCATCTTTTGTCATATTATTGCCTGAGGCGGATTGCTACTTTTTCTTCGCGCCTCTTCGTGTTTACTGTATACTTGCCTAGAAAATTGCACCCAGAGTATTAGACTTACGTAAGCAGAGAGCTTTTTTTTGCATCACCTACGGGGGTTTGTGTGTTAGGAAACTGTGTTTCACTTGTGAAGTATCCCAAGGATGACGCGTAGAAAAGATGCCAGTTTCTCAAGTTCACCAACTCACTCTGTTTTTTTTTAGTGCGTCACATTTCTTAATTTTCGTATGTTTTGCCTTGCGATAAATTGAAAAAGGAAAAATACGCGAGGAAAATTTAATTTTGTATATTTTTTCTTGACTTACGGGAAAAAAAGACTTCCCGAGCGAAATGTGGTGTTTGGTAACGAGTCAAAAAAATACTTGGGTCACGTAATCACTAGTCGTTAACGGCACGGGAATTATGACGGTTCACTTCTGGAAATTGTTGGAGGGCATAACGATTAACATTGAAATGATTTTGTCGAAAAAAATATTTCAATTTTTGTGGTGTGTGTGAATGAAACCCTGTTCATCTTTGTGTGATTTCTCGCACTGTCGTGTTCATAACCCTCATGTTGATTGAAAATGTTTCCTCTTTTCGTGTACTAATTCAAATTCGTTTCTAGTCGGCGATATATTTTTTTGCTTTACAATTATCATTTTTTGGAATGACGTTGAGGAGCGTTGCGAAATTTCGCATGTTGGACTGAAGAACAGAAATCATAATTTGTGGAATTTTTTCAAGTTCTCCCCAAGCATTTCTTGGACGTGCTTTTATGGAGAAGTGATGATGTGTTCTTCATGACAACCTGTCCATTTGGGATAATGACTTACAATTGCACTTGGAACTTGTCAAGTCAAAAACCTCCCTATGATTTGAATTTCCAGTTGATCCCTGGACAACTGTGCCAAGTCCAATGTAATGTAAACCTGTCTGACTTGAACCTTTTTCCACACCTCCATTTTTCAAAATTTGTAAAAAATTTGGTTTATAGGTAAATTGTAGTACACCTGTTGCAGAAAATAATATTTTTTCTGTGTGGGGTTGGAATTGTGTCAGAATTTATCCCATAGGGTAGTTTGTCATGGTGATCCATTATCATGTTGTTTTCAAGTATGATTTTTTTAGGAAGGAGAGTGTTGGTATTTTCTGGACCCTGCTTCTGTGGAAGTGCTTGTCTTTCAATGAAGAAAAAAGATATATTTGTTCTGACAACGATACTTTCTTCTGGATGTGTTCCTTTCTATGTAGGGCCTCTTTTTTTTTAGTGGCTGGTAAATTAGATGAGGATTTAAATTATTCAAACTCAGAAGCTTGGCACCCATCAGAGGATCTACAGCAGATTAATCATTGCCATGAATGATCCAAGTTAGACAAAGGTTTGCTGTATACTGGAGTTAACATTCTTGATGGCATTTTATTGGGGAAAAACTAATTCATGAAAGATAAGAGGCAAAGCAAAAATTCAGGTAGAAAAATTGCATCTAACCCTTTGTGTACATGCTGAAGCTAAACATTTTGCAATTTTTGCCAAGAAGTGCTTGGAAACAAGTGCTAGCAAAAACATGCAATAGGCAGAAACAAGCACTTTCTGTGAACTGAAAGTTTTCTCAGCAATAATTCTGAGGTTTCTTAACCTTGCATGAGTGAGTCAATTTTGACGGGTATTGCTTTCTATGTTACAGTACAGAAAACATCCATGCCTTTGGAATTGGTGGAAACTGATGGATACTGCAAATGACCTCTCTGTAAAGCACTGTATTTTGATTTTGAAAAGCTAACTTTCAGTTATTAGCAAGATAATAATGGTTGAAATATGATGTGAAACTGCAAAAAGGAGGCTTGTTTCAGATTGCAGAAAATTTTGGTGCAATACCAAAAATTGAACCTGCTCAGTGGAAGGTTTTTCTTGGTTCTCCTCATTTTCAAATCAAATAAATTTTTAATTCCAGACATTGTTTTAGTTTGATGGCGGTCAAAATGCGAAAAAAATACTGGAAGTAACCTGATCACACTCCTATTTTCTCATGAATCCATTCCCTTAAATAGGCGACTTCTGAATAAACTCCAGGGTATCCTGGCCTGGCACACCCAGATCCCCATGAAACAATTCCTGCAAGCACATTGGTTCCATCTTCTAGAGGGCATGTCATAGGACCACCACTGTCACCCTAAAAAAATACACAAAAGCTGATCATAATGTCAGAGATCATGTATTTAGACAAGCTAGAGATGCTAATACTGTAGTTCCAACCTTCTAGGCCTAGTAGTGTGGCCTATAATAGGCCAAAGTTCAAAACATATGTCTTCTAACAACTGACAAAGCTCTTGAACAATTCTTTGTAGTAATGTACTAGTAGAATCTTGTTACAACAAGTCTTGTTTTGACAATTAATGACTGCACTTAAAATTAAGTGATATTTTAGGTCCCTGTCCAGCAATAGCCACAATTTTGAAAAAGTTAGTTCAGGTGGACTCTCAACAACAAAATTTTAGGAACCTGAAAAACAATTTGTTGTCAGGAACTCCTGTAACAAGGGGACTGTATCCTATATTGGACTGAAGAAAAATTGCTTTTAGATGAGAAATTCATTCTGGACAGGATTGTTGAAGAGAGAGTCCACTGTAACAAAAATTCCATTACAACAAAGCTATTCCACTGCATTCCCAACAGCTACATATTGTAACAAGATTTTTCTGTATACATAGATCTTGCAAGATTACACAACAACTTGCACAGCAACAACTCACACAGTGACAACTCCAACAGCGACAACTCACACAGTGGGACAACTCACACAGGGACAACTCACATAGTGTGACAACTCACACAGTTCTTCTTTTTTACTGATTTTTCTTTTTTTAATTTAGGTTCTGGCAAAAATGTATACTTTTCTTGTGTCTAGATTCTCTTTTAGCCTGAAGTACTTGCATACATTTATAATAAAATTTTTATTAATTTTTTTATACTTGTGTTTTCAACCTAGTCAAGGATAATTTTGAACCAAATTTATTGGGTACATTTATCATGTTCTATATTTTAAATACTTCTGTTTTCAATCTATTCAAGGATAATTCTGATGCATGCATTAATCCATGTTCTTCCTTTTAGGAATTGAGCCCCAGTCATTGTCATGGCTCACAGCAATTTTCCAAGCTTTCACAGGAATTTTTCAATTTCAGTTCACAATCATTTTTGAAGAACCCATCTAAAATTGTTGAAAATCCAATGTCCAATCAAGCAATATTTACATCAATAACTGGGGGGGGGGGGGATAGCTGTCAGCCATAAGCATGACTGGGGCTCAATTTCTAGGAAGAACATGGATTGATGCATGCATCAGAATTATCCTTGATTAGATTGAAAACAAAAGTATTAGAACATGATAAATGTACACAATTAATTTAGGAAAAAATTATCCTTGAATAGGTTGAAAACACAAGTATAAATTTTTTTTTAAATTGTATTATAAATGCATACAATTAAATTAGGATAAAGAAAATCCAGACACAAGAAAGGTATACATTTTTGCCAGAACCTGAATTGAAAAAAGAAAAATTATTTAAAAAAAACTGTGTGAGTTGTCTCACATGTGAGTTGTCGCTGTGTGAGTTGTTGCACTGTGTGAATTGTCACTATGTGAGTTGTCACTGTGTGAGTTGTCGCTATGTGAGTTGTCTCGTAACCATCTTGCAACATCAATGTATGCCAATTCCACAAATCAACCAGCAATTTATAGCACAGTGAAATCTTGTTGCAAAAAATACCATTACAATTTTTTCTTCAGTAAAACAAACTTTTTCTCAAGTCCCAGCAGAAAGTGTATGGAGTATACAGGTGCATGGTACCATGCAATTCAACCTCCCACAATTTGACCATCCCGCATTTCAACCATCAAATTTGCAGTGAGGTTGACTTGCAATTTGATGTCTACCCCAGAATTTGACCTGCTTTGGCCTTTTTAAAATTTTTGTGCTAATATTTCTTAAGTTTGTGAAGTGTCTTGCAATTTGACAACTTTAAATTTTGACTCCAGTCTTGTCAAATTGCAAGGTACCACCTGATACACAATAAGGCAATCTTGTTACAGCAAACTTTGAAATTCCAGATCTGTACTGCATGTATAGACACACCTGACAAGCATCCACTCCACCAAGGGCATAGTAACCTGCACACAGCATTCCATCATAAATGTTGGTCCATCCATAAGCATCTTCACAGTCCATTCTGGTGACAATTGGGACTTCTGCCTTCACCAGAACCCTGGCAAGTGAACCACCCTCTTGTGTAGTTCCCCAACCAGTAATATTGCACATCAGATCCTCTGCAACATTAAAATAGAATAGAGTACATTTATTGAATGCTGTCCATTGCCTATGCAGTCTAGATATTTTTTGGACAGCACTCAGGGTTTAGCTACTGAGTGTATAGATGTCAAAATGTGGAAAGTATGCTTTCCTTAGACTTTCAAGATTATTGTTCCAATTCCAAACATTTGAAACAATTGGAAAATTCTTCAAAATGAGAAGAAATTTCCAAAAATTTGAACTCTTTTGAATTCCATAACTTTAAGATTTTGGATACAAATCCTCACTGCAAAAGAAAAATTAAGTCAGTATACTTATTGAAATCTGGATCTTTTGACACTCTTGGTTACGGCCGTTCAATACGGCATAGGAATGGAGAATAAAGTCAATATGATAGAAATACGTTTTTCTTGAACTTCAACAAATTTAAAAGTTATTTTCCAACCATTTCAAATGATGAAATCATGCTTTGAAGACGAAGTAATGCATACGATTGTAAAAAAAAACAAAGGAAACGCAGAAGTAAAGAAAATAAATGACAAAATTAACCTTTTCTGGGGAATAAAAAAACAACACATTTGGTGTCACACGCATTGAATCAGGCTGAAATTCTGAACATATGCCTATCAAAATAATGGAAGGAACTTTAATCTGACGCATTTTCCAAAGTTTCAGCTCTATTTGTTTTGGGAAGTATAAATAGAAATACTTTTTCAGAGTTTTTCGATTTTCACACTTATTAGAATTCCTATTATAATTCCTGAGATACTGTATCTGGAAGTCGATTTATTCAGATGTCTGCAAATGCCCTGGATAGTGGGAGCCTCACATTTTTCGCGTAACGGACCTGAGCATGCCTAGATTGTATGCTTCGTATGTTGAACGCTGCTTCAGATAATGGACAAACAATGATAATTTTCGAGGGAAATTGTGGTTGCCAACATCACTGTCCAAGTGTAGAACCGTTTTTAAATTCCAATTTGTGTTGAACCTTTTTTACTCGTTTATTTTTCATGCTAAATCTTTTATTGAATAACTCAATGATTTATGAAATATATTTTTGAAATTAAGAAAATAGGCAAGTGCATAAACAGAGGCGAATAATTTACTGATGTGCAATTTTGAAATAAACTCTTGCCTTCAAAAGTTGTTCCAAATTCTGGAAGTTGAAGGAGACCGATTCTTTCAGTGAGGTTAGCTGGAGTTTCCAACTGCAATATGGCGATGTCATTTTCAAATGTGAACCTGTTGGAGAAAAAAAAAACTCATGTTGAATCATCCGTAAAGTTTTCAGATTTTTAAATCTCTCAGTGAAGGATATGAAGTTCAAATCACAGAAGAAAAAATTGATATCTAAAATATTTAGAAGAAAAACCGTTTTATTTTGGCTCAAATGCTCATAGTATATAGTATAATCTGTTAGTTGGCAACGTTTCTATACTGTTTCATTGGAGGTTCCTCTTTGGTCTGCCGACTTTTATTATTTTTTGACTTTGAATACAATATATAAAATGCACAAAAAAGTGCTATTAATACAGTCTCCTCTTGATTGCCTTCCTGATTTGAAATTTGTCAAAATTGCCTTTTCTTTGCTCTGCCACTTCAATATTCATCTGAAACAATATTTTATCAAAAATTATTTTTGTTTTAACTTTTCTCAGACAGGTCAAAATGGTCTGTTTGATGAATTACCCTTTCAGTCACAGTTATTATATTAATTAGATGGACTCTCTCTACAAAGATCTGGTCTACAAAAAGTTTTTTCTATGTAAAGAATTCTTTGATGGTCCCTCAGGGTTCTCATCTCCCTATGTTACATAGAGGTTCTCTACAACAGAATTCTCTCTACAACAAATTTATTTCTGGTTCTTTCAGTTTTGTTGTACAGAGATTCCACCTTTTATAGCTTATCATATACTCACGAATTGTAGTCTTCATGCTCGAATATTCCATTCACTTTTATCTCCACTTCAAACTCATCTGTGATTTGCCTGTTATGCTCCCCCAGTTTAACCTACAAAATGAAGGACATTGATATAAATGGTTCAAGGACATTTATTGACATGGTGATGAAAGATTTAAATGAAGAAGAAGAAGAAGAAAAGAACTGCAAATGCTGCTCACAGAGTATTCATTTCTTGAATGCCCATGCACACAATGTGCTGCAGTAACCACATAACTGGGGTCAATCAAGGAGCCTCCACACCAATGAGATGGGATGAGATTCTCCCAGGGACGTTGTACAGACACCATGTAAGGGAATTCTCCTGTTGAAATAATCACTTGATTTCACAAAAAGCCTATTACATGAGGGCATCTCTAAGTTGATATAATATAAGGGACTCTATAGGAAAATATTTTTACCTCAAGCGTTTTTGAGTTGGGGACTTTGGCCTCATTTGTTGGGAATAAATCCAGACAAAGAAAAGGTTTGAATTAAATTGAAAACCTAGAAAAGATGTTGGAAAATAAAACACGATGATTTTGTCCGGCTACAACCAGGGTGAAAAACACCCTATTTTAAAGTTGGTATACTTCAATATCACAAGTTCACAACAGAAATTTGCAAAATCTCGGAGAACGTTCTCACACAAAAGTTTGATTTGGACTGTAATAAAATAGTCAAATTTGGAAATCAGGAAAACTGTCCTTCAAGGACAAAAAACAGCAACAGAAACTTGGTAATAAAATCCAGCCATGGAGGCTGCCAAACATCTGTGGGAACCAAGGTCTTCCAAGATTCCCACACAGATAGAATGAAAGACTAAATTTGCTGGGGAATTTGGGTTCTCTAAAGCTAGCGTATTGAATTTAATATAGTCGTTGAAATATTCGCAACATCATTTGTGAAAATTATTCAAGGGATAATTTTCAAGGCCAAGTTATTAGAACTGTTGAATATTCATAGATTTATAACCTGCAGGTAATTTCTTTATTCCTTCTCCTGTACAAAGTATTCAGGCAATGATTTGCCTTTTTATGGGACATATTTTCTATAATTCCCCTCAAGATTATTTACCAAAAGGTAAAACATATTGACAGAGGGGTGTTTGATCCAAACTGTTTCAAGTTATATAGGGAGGGTTTAAAGTGCATTGGTATTGAGCAGAAAATTGGCCATTGGGATTCATGATGAGTTTTAGTTCTGGAGTTTGGACTTGGCAATATCTTACTGAACAATACTTGTGATCCATTTTGAAGATTTCCCTTTGAATTTATTGTAAACAAAAACAGAAAGTTATTTGCTAATGGATCACATTTAAAGTACACCAGCATTGGATGAAAGCTGAGATTCCCTGCATTTCTATGCTGCCAAGGGTTTGAAAAATTATTGATTGACATTAAAGTTTTATTTGCTGTTTGTAAGCATTCCTATGGTCCAAAAATTTTTTCCGCATCCACTTAAGATGCCCATTTTCTGCCTTAAGGCCTATCAAAAATAATTTATAGTCTAGGTATTGAGAGAAAATACAGTCAACCCCTGTCTGAAGGACTTGATTTGTGCAAGGGGCGAGTCTGTTAGATGAAAAGTCCTTTACACAAATTCAATTACATAAAAATTAAAAATTTCAATTTTCAATACTAATTTTAAACCAAAAGAAGTCTGTTTGGCGGATTTTTTCTGTTGGGCGGGAGGAAAAACTGCTTGCAGAGCTGGTCTGTTTGGCAAAAATCCCTTACACGGGAGGTTTGTTAGGCGGGGGGCCACTGTACTGTAATCATATTGCAATACTTTCAAATGCAAGAATAATGTATTGCTATAATTTTGATGACAAATATCACAGCACAAAGCAATTAATAAGCACAAATTGAAGCACAGCATGTTCAGTCTGTTCTTGGATAGGTTTTAACCCTTGCTGGGCAGCTGTGCTAGGATCTATCTGCAAAATGTTTGTGCCCCAAAGGAGTATAAAAAAGAGGAACAAAAATGATTAGAAGAGCCAAAGTCTGGAAAAATCCCAATTTTTTTTGCGTTCCTGCAGAAAAACTTGAAAGGAAAAAAATACTGTTGGGTGGCATTTTTTCTGCATTCCTGCCATAGGATTAGCATTGGGGGATTATTTGAAGACCAACTTTCTTTTTTTGCAAGATTACTCAGCCAATGCTGCATGTTGGTGACTTTTGGTTAATGCAAAAGCCTGCAAAAATGCAGGCACCACCACGCAATGCAAAAGAACGCGCTGCCACCCAAAGGTTAAAAGCTTCAAAAATTCAAAAAAAATCTTTGAGAAGAAATTACATAAAGCTAGCACTTCATCCTGCGAAAAATATTATTATGTAGAATTCACAAGAAAAAAATACATCAAAGTTCTATGCAGCATTTGACTCACCTGGTTCAGCAATTGTGCCACCAACAATCTTTCCATTTTTGTTTTGTGCATTAGAAAATGCAGCTGAAATTATTAAAATATGCATTGATTTCTCATGAAATACATTAAAAATAACAATGGAGAATAAACACAATGTTCAAATCACAACTTCCCATCCTTTATAAACATACTGTCCTTGATATTTCCTTGCTTACCGTTGGACAAAACATGTAGAGACGCAAGAAAGAGTATGGGATTCATTGTCAAGTTCAAATTACGTTCTGGAAAAATACTAGAGAACTGAGGCCATTATCAAAATTTTCATGATATCTAATCGCAAAGCATTCTCATGCTGCTTACACCTGGTCTTAAACCGAAATTTCCAACTAAAATCAATAATGTGTGGAATATGAAAAAATGGCCAACAATTTTAGTTCCATGTGTTTAAATGGGCATCATTTTCATTTGTTGGAGGTTGACACCGAATTTAAACTGCTGTCATCAACAACAAATCACAAAGCTTTTCAATGATCGTTAATATGGTCAAATTTAAATTTATATTCTTCCTTCCATACATAGTGTCATAAAATTCAGATGAACTCTGACATACTGTATCCTCCTACGTGAATTCAATATATATGTTGCCAAAAAAGTAAAAATCCTGATCAACATCATCTTCCAACTTTGCTGCACAAGGGTTAAAAACAGCCCAAGAAAATAACTTCATAATTCAACTTCTTCTATAGAAGTGAATCAAATGTTCCTATACATGCACACACAGACCAATCCTCTTCATAATAGAACATCGACAATTTTGCCCTAGATGGAAGAGATAAGAAATCTTTCCCTGTCACAACAATATTCATAATTCAGTAATAATAATTATAATAAAATAATGAAATCAAATAAAAACCTTCAATGCATGACATACATTTCTAACCATTATTTTCTAGTGAATCCTCACGTCATGGTCACAACTTTCATCAGCTCTCCCGAAAAATCACAAATCATCTCATCATTAATCACCAGGTTACATCAGTTAAACATAATTAAATACTGCGTGTGTTCCTTATATGTAAACACAGTGATGCAAATAGCAGACACGCCATACTCCAACATTTTTAACCCCCGACGACGAGAAATAATAGCAAAATGTCCACCAACGATGACTGCGAAAATGGGCCTCCCGCGTTCGAACCCAACTTCAAATGCCAACCCTCCAAGCACCCGAACCCTTGGATGCCCGCCGACTGCTGCATCAAATTCCCGTGCACGAAAATAGTCAAAAAGACCCGCAAGAAACCCCCGCCTCCGTGTGCCGAGAACCCCTGCCGGAAACCCGAGGAACCCCGTTGGGTCGGTCGTGCTTATTACATGCTTCACACGGACCTGGGTTTCAAGCCTCGTCAATACTGGTTCGAACCCGAACCCCTGGATGATCAGTCCTTTTTAAACTACAAACCCCTCGTGGAGTGTGCCGTGGATGCCGGGGTGTGTCCCGTGGATCCCGAACCTTTGCCCCCCTGGGAACCCCGCAAGGAGCCAGTGTATCAGACCCGCAGGACTAAGAAGTACTATGAGTACTGCGTGTGCAGAATGCCGGTACAGGAGTGCATTTGTGATATTTTGGCGGAGGCGTGTCCGAGTGTGCCTCCGAGAACGAAGGGATTGTGTAAAGAGGCCAAGGAGATGTTGGCTCGGAAGCCCCTGTGTTCCACGCCTTTTCCCGTGAAGCTGGACAAGGAGTGTCGATCAGATTAATCTACTATTGAATTTCGTCAAATTTATCATTTACATTTCTTTCTGGAAACCGATAGGAATAGCTTGTGTGTCTTTTCTTAATTTCTGTGTGCTTGATTCGTCAGATGGGAGAGAATGATGAGCGTACTTAATCCGCAGCGAGCGACATCTAGGCGAGCCCAGAATCATGTACTCATACGCCAATTTAATGATTTATCCAAGGATGCGCTGTAAGACGGCATGTTCTTTTCAATCTTCGAAATTTAAAAACGTAAAAAATTGCTGGTTACACAGATTAAACTGTGACAGATGAGCATTCTATAAGAAAATTCAGTGGACCAATTTAGAATTTGTTGAGAGTTTAATTGTATAGAGAACCCTTTTAGTATGACGAGAAAGGTACCCAACCAAAAGCCCCCTGCCAAAAACCCCCTAGGTCAGAAGCCCCCTTAGTCAAAAACCCCCCTGCAAAAATCACCCCCACTTTTTTTTTGGATGCAAGTTTCATTACAGTGTTTGGTGGCCCTGAGTAGGGCTGCTTGGTTTCATTAGTCCTCAAAATGACTGTTGAAATAATCATCTTCAAAATTGCCTTCTGCAGTCTCTTCCTCAGTGTCACTGATGCTCTTATTTTTGGCAGGGGGGGGGCTTTTGACCAAGGGGGCTTTTGGCAGGGGGGCTTTCAGGGGGCTTTTTTTTTTTTTTTTTACCTAGGAGGGGTTTTGGACTATACCCAGAGAGAAAACTCTATGCGTTTATGATGGGGCCCATAAAAATTTATTTTTGTAAAGAAAATCGTTTTACAGAGAGTTCACATTGAGTGTAGGTCAATATGTCTTTAACTACTGTACTAATGCACCTAATGTTTGTTAAGTGTATCATTTACACGGTGTATTCCATTGGAAGATATGCAATAATTTATCAAGTGAATTTTTAATTGTTGTCCCAATCAGTGAAGTTTGCTAGCTGGATTCGAGCTATTGATATTTTTAAAAACAGTAAAAACATCAAGTTTGTCAGCTGGAACGTTGATCAACAAAGGCTTTTGTTATGTCAGGCCACATTGGAGACGACTGCATAGTGCATACATACGTTGCACTGAAAAGAAAGCGACCTCTGCCATGCTTTGAAGACATTTCACAGGATTGCTGCTGCATATTAAAGCCAGGTGTCACTGCTTTATTGCAGTAAAACTGAGAAAGTAACTGAGTGACGCATAACCGGAACCAAATGAGAAATTTTGTAGCCGAAAATGACTTTATCAGAGAAAATGCAACGAATGGGATTATTTGAATATTATTTTCAATCCAAATCTTGAAGAAATTGACTCTTTTGATTCAAAACTGCTTTTTCATATTTATTCAAATCTCCCAGAAAACAGGTGACACTTTCCAACAGGTCTCAGAATATAATCAGCTGCAGAATATAAACTAATATGGATTCCAAGTATGAAGCTCATGTTTATTTGAGAATTCCTGCTAAATTATACCTAACAATCTTTTTTTTCAAATTGCTTCAAAGATTGGCTCATGATGTATATATGTATCAGAATAATAGATGCCATCCGTCATTTTTAATTGAAGAAATATTTTCTCTAGAAATAGTTGAACATTTGACATTCAGTCGATTTTTTTTACATCACAGCGGCACATGGACTTTTGCTAATTTTTTTGGACATTTTTCTGCATTGAAGTGCAAGTG